CAGCAGCTGTGATTTTGGTATTGGCCCCTTCATTACCGGACCTTCATATAGGTATGATGGTACTGAAGTGGTTAAGCTAAAAGTTTTCAAGTGTAAGTAACATAAACATACTCAAAAATAGGGGTATGAAACTTAACCCCTTAATACTTATAAAACAAACCCTTAAATGATGGCAATGAAGCACACATTTGCTTCTTTTTGCACAAAGCCCATTATTTTCCTAATTTATAAAAGAAGGTCAGTAAATAGAGTTATTGTTTTTAAATATCCATGAAAGGACATTTGGACCAAACATTAACTTGACCTTAGGAAATGCTGTGTAATAGTGAGATTTTATGGAGTGGAGCGCACAAGTAAACCATTTTTGGGACCTTGTAAGTAGACTTATTTGTCAGGATACTATTGTAGGAAACTTTTCTACTAAAATATAAGTAGTGCAGATCGGCACGTACCTGTACTCTGGAATTAAGCCATAATCCTGCCTGTCATAAATTCAGAGCAGCTTATCTCTAGATCTTTGACCTGCTGACACTATATTCAATCTTCAAATAAATGCTGACCCGAGGCCTGCCTGCTTCCCCATCAAGATTCCTATGCCACAGATGGAATAGGAACCCACTGCTGAACTTTGTGCTCATTCAGCTTCCTGGCACAGTTATCTTGTACAGCAGCAACATTTATACCAAGGACTGCAGTTATCATATGATTTATATTACTAATATCCTAACCATCCCTGTCCTCTTTTGCCAACATACACATTAGGGATTTTTTCATCATCCTTTTTCACGCCTGCACCTGTAAGAATACTCTGTCACGAAGTGCTAAAAGCAAACAAATGCCAAGCATATTAAATGTAATGATAGCTCAATACTAACCTCTTGTGTTCAACCAGCAGAAATAAAATGATCCTCTCTCAAAGTGAAGCCATTACTGTGATCAACAGATCAAACCTGACTATTTTACAACAGAACAGAAAGAAACAAAATCAGCTGTAAATCCTTTGTATAAGTAATTATGAAATTTAAGAAAAATAGTAGGGTAGTAGACCTTATTGTCCATTAAGGCACACAGGAATGCAGTAATTCTTAGACATTTCTGACATCCAATAGCAGTCCAACTGAGTGGGCAACAGGCACTGACGGATGTAGTATAGAACCAGAAAATCTGTAACAACCAGAAGGACCAATGGCCAAATCTAAACCAGAAAAGGAGTGGCAAAGCGCCATTAGTCCAAGCAAAAAACAAACAAACAGTGGAGGACATCTCGATGCCTCACTAGTGACTCACCAGTGACGAGCAAATGAGGGACAAGGAGGCTCCTCCCTGCCTCTTCCTCACACAGCTTGGTTACCGAGCTGTGGGGTGGGGCTTCGGTGGGAACTTCATCAGGACGGGGCGGAACTTCATCAGGACGGGGCGGAGCTTCGGCAGGACGGGAGTGAGCATCGGCAGGACGGGAGCGAGCATCGGCAGGCTCGGGGATGCCTCGCCCAGCACAGAAGGCACGGCATGTCACTGGCACCAAGTCAACAAGGCAAGCTGGTCTAAAGATGTCAAAAGCAGAAAAAAGGAGTTGAAAAAGTGCCCCCAGTAAAAAAGACAGAAGTGGGAGACAACTATTTCATACTAGTGAAGCAACATCAGAAAAAAGAAGGATGAACAGAGTCGTCCACAAGGACATCCATCAGTGTCACTAGAACCTGACAGAGAAACCCCCCCTGCAGGACTTGTCAACCAAGCCCTCCAGTGATAGTTTCTTCCTGGCATGAAAGAGATAAAAGCACACCAAGTGCACAAATCTTCCTCCTCCGAATGCAGACTACACGATGAAGGGGCCCAGAAGACAAAAAAACTATGCCTCTAAGAGGAAGTGTGCAGTTGAGAGTAAAATCTTAAACATCATTAAGCACAGGAACCAAGTCAGTCTCTCTGTCAAAGGGAGAATACCCAAAACCTTTTGCTGTAGATGAAGGTCTTACAGCACCAAAGTGATGTTCAACAGAGGTGGGGCTAAGGACGTTATTCACAATTGGACCCCCTAAAGAAGCAGGCATTAAAATGCTCTGGGGAAACACAGTCAATTCCAAGGCATGAGGACAGCCCTGAGACATAAGTCCTTCATGACTGAGGGAAGGAACCACCCCACAGACCCTAAGAGACTGACCGCGCATATCAGTGACTATCAGATCCATAGTACTGCCTAGACATCTCACCCCAAGTACAGACGCCAAGATACAAGGAGGGAAACTAAGGAAGGCCAAAGGTCAACAAGAGTAGGAGAGGCAAGGTCAAGAGAGCAAGCCCCCAGTACCCCACTAACCTTTAAAGTGGACAGAAGCAGGTGCGCTGAGAACATTAGGGAAGATTTCACTAACCCAGAGGAGGCAGGGTGCTTCATCTAGACCTAGGCTGGGCGGTCTCACTTACTGACTTATAGTTACCAACTCTAGACATTTCGAAAGGCTCCAACTGATGGAACTTGCAAGAGGTGGGCCCTGTGAGAGAATTCTGGGAATCAGAGTAAAAAAAAACAGTTTCATAAAAGGTCACTTATGCGTCCCAAAAAAGAGAGCGCAATTGTGTTTCCTCCAAACTGAATAGTGTGCTTCATGCTAAAAAGACAGCATGAAGCACACACATGCTTTTATGAGGGGGTGAGTAGAGATATGGATGGAGGGAGGCCGGTAGATGTGGTATATCTATACCCAATGGATGATGTCAGTGCTCAGACTTTGTGTTTCTGCAGTGAAAAATCTGTAGTGGTAGGAAATCTGAAAGGCGCCCAGAGGTGCTAATAGGGAATTAGCTCTCGGTGCTTCAGCCCAAACAGCCTTATTCACAAAGTGAGTCTCCAGACACATGGTCAAATGCTGAGGCAATGCCACAGCTCTTGATCTGGAAAGTACTCCACGGCTAACTTTTAGTAGTAAAATCAAGCCTGGAAAGTGCCACAATGCAGAGCCCAGTGCCCAGGTCACATTCCAAGTTAACCTTGCACGTCCCTTCCAGCAGAATCTGGGTAGGGTATTTCAAAGTCAGGCTTAAGAAAGGCAGACTAGGAAAGCTGCTATATAGAGACCAGTTCAAGCAGCAGTTCAGTGAGGAATCATTATTGAAGTCAATGGAAGAACAATCCAAGGGAAAAAAAAAACCAAGAAACAAATGCAGTTAGATTTTTTTCTCAACAGAGCTGAAGAAAAAAGGTTATCTTCTTAACACACTAGAAAAAAACTGAGGAATGCAAGCTAGAGGAGGGGTTATACTGGGGTAGGGAGGGCTGACTTACAGTTTTTTGTGTTTGCCAGTGCCCAATCCTGCCGTAGGCAGCAGTATAACCCAACTGTATTTGAATACTTCTATTACTCACTAGACAAGAAAAAATTGAATGATTTAGTCTTATCCAGAGCCAAAAATAAACAGATCTTCTCTATTCTTTTCTATAAACCCGAGTGGTTAGAGGAAGCAGGCTGGAAAAAAAAAACAACAACAAAAAAACCTTTTAGAGTGTTGCCACGTAGTAACATAATGCAGCTCTATAAATCTTACTAGTAGACTCTTGTGGCTATAAACACATAACATCGGTATGTAATAGGCTTTGACTCAGGAGAATGAAAGATAAATGAAGAAGTAGCCGTATCATACATGGAGCTTCAGCATGACTGTTATTAGAGTGCCCTCTAGTGCATATTTGATATTAGGTCAAATGTACAATGAAGCCCGCTTCATCTCTTTATGTTTGCTGGATGTATAAAGTTTTGCCAACATCATGATAAAGTCGGGTTAGACTCAGGATGAGGCTGTGTTATGTAGGACAGTGTGTATACATGACATCCTTAATAATAATCAGGTAATGTTCTCTATAATGTGAAAGGCTGTAATAGCACTGAAAGGAAATCATGGTACAGTAATAAGATCAGCTCTGGTAGATGAGCTTACTAACCTTATCGTGTACAAGTACAACCCTAAGCTCTGGTTTAATAATTCCATATGCCATTAGAAGGTCTTGAACTTTTTTGAGCTCTGCTTTGCGTTTCTTCGTGGTAGAAAAAAATTGTCTTCTTACTGGCAAATTCTTGAATAAATTTAAGACCGTGACTGTAGTCCCTAAAGTAGATAAGAACAAGGAATATGAAGACTGGCTTTTTAGAGTAAGTTTGCATTATTTAGAACCATACTAGGTTCTTGACAATGCTGAACAAACAAACAAAAAACTGCATAAGCACAAGGTATGGCACCACCATCACTATTCAAAAATCCAAAACAATCAGCATATCCTCAGTTTGACTGCTTATCACTCAATCTATTTAAAAGCACACAGAAAACACCATTACACAACATTTCAACCTGAGATTGGTCTTAAATTGAAACCAAACTCAGGAGTTAAATCTTAAAAATGCATTCAAGTACCTTACCCATTAACAAAAATGTATTTCATTTGAGTATCACTCAGCTGTAGATCCTCAAATCATCTTTGAATTGGTGCTCACACTGTTCTTCATTCTGAAGGGTGGCTACTTTTCTTCCCCATGGTCCCTGTGTGTGTTGTAAAGTAGCCACTGCTCTTTACCCTTTTAGCTTTGCTCTTTAAACACAGCATATACAGTACGAGGGGAATTTATCAAAATTGGAGCAGGCAGAATCTGGAGCAGCTGTGCATGGCAACCAATCAGCATCCACCTTTCATTTTCAAAACTTAAACTGAACAAACTGAAGCTGAGAGAGAAGCTGATTGGTTGCCATAGGCAACTGCTCCAGATTCTTCTGCTCCAGTTTTGATAAATTCCTCCTTATGTATTTTGTTATTTACAATATAAATCACACCCACTCTTGAGAAATCTCTCTTTAAAGCCTGAACTCTAACCAAAAACCGAACTCTAACCAAAACAGGTCAGAGGCTTTTAACATAGTTCCAAAGCTTAGATTGACAAGAGCTAATGCTCTTGATTGTTTCCCAGCAACAGCCAGAGCTGGGGAGCAATCAAAGCTCAGTAAGCATTAACACTTGACAATTTAAACGTTTGAAACTATGTTGAAAGCCTCTGACCTGTTTTGGTTAGAGTTCGGTTTTTGGTTAGAGTTCAGGCTTTAAAGAGAGATTTCTCAAGATTTCCTATTTTGGCTTGAGTTCAAGTGGGATTTAAAAATGGAACTTGATGCACCAATTTAATTGTCTCCCAAAACAGTTACTTTTAAGGCATGTCAACTGTCAAGGTTGCCAGTGTGCTTATTTCAGCTCTAAAAAGAACTTTCAAGCCCTCTAATGGCAGGTGTCATAGCTGATCAAATGTGTGGCACCATGGCAACTGCAGGCCAATGGCACTTTCCTTGGAGGCTGTAGTTTCGTGTTAAACTAATTTGGGAGGACTTTCTTCAATGGCACTCATCTACACTGGAAGCTTCTTACCTGCTATCCTTATTGTAAATCATCTGCAATATGTACTTTCTACTCTAGCCTCTCTGCAGCCTGTTCTTACTGTGTGTCAGTTTTCCATAAACATGACATGGTTTGACTCAAAAGCCACAAAGATATGGTTTAGGACTAGAAATGTTTGAGCTCCAAAAGTCAGTTTCAGGATTATTGTTTTTAACTGACAACTTAACACTACTGTGGTGCCTAGGTGCAGAATAATTCAATTATAACAAACCCATGCCTTGAGAAAATCCTCAGGGTCCATTCACACCATATGCGTTGGGTCTAAGCTGACTGTTGTTTCCAGCGCAGCCCTAAGGCAAGACATGGCAATTTACCTTGTCACGTATGGGCACCATTCACACCAACCCATTACAGTGGGAACGTGGTGGTGTCCACTGAAAAAAATACGACATGCTGTATGTTTTTTCAGCACAACCACCTCGCATCCCACCGTGCCCATATAACTGAATTAGATGTCACAAAAAAGTACACAGTGCAGCATGCTGGGATCGGCGCATTGGCACTGTGTCGGGCACTGCACACCAGCTGCTGTGCATTTTGTGCAGCAGCTGGTGTGAACTGGCCCTAAGACGACCACTGCTGACCACCCACTCAAAGGATATCTAGCTTGCTAGCCTAAAATGCTAATCCCTTTGAATAAATTCCAGGTCGCCGACTTATGACAAATATGCAGCAAGCAGAAGTCAGAATTAAGATAAAACCCTGATATTCATGCTTGTTGTTGGGCGGAGACTCTAGACCAGTATGCCAGCAAGGTCACTAGCAGGTTACATGATTCTCTTGGCAAACATTTCAATATCTTTCAAATATCAACAACTTGAACATAAGCAGATAGATGTGTAATTTAACCTTGCAGGTGTACTTTATTCCAGCATAACAGAAAGGCCTGCAACAGACTCTGAGCATGTGTATTTCCCTTACCCAGTCCAAGGTGTGATGGCTTATGAGATTTAACATGTCCAGTGTTATCCAAAACATACTGGGTGCTGATCTCATCGGCAGCAGTCTTCGTTGTAATATGCACCTGCAGTAACAGGGAGTAACATTTTCAGAACAAAGAGAATCCGAACCCAACCCTAACACTGTGGAAACGGTACATTAAGTAGAAAAAGTGTGCAGCTTTGAGTGGGTATAGTTTATTTTTATTTCATAAAATATATTTTCCCGTTCATTTTCTAT